GACTTTTAAAATCTGTTATAGAATGACCAAGGAGATTGAAGTGTTCACTTACTGGCTTTTGTATGTTACCATTCCTGATTTCTGATTTGTGTCCATTTATTCTTTTGCGGAGGGACTGTCCGGTTTGGTCAATGTATATAGCAGAGGGGCATTGCTGGCACATGATGGCATATATAACATTAGTAGATGTGCAGGTGAATGAGCCCTTGATGGTGTGGCTGATGTGGTTGGGTCCTCTGATGGTGTCGCCAGAGTAGATATGGGACAGAGTAGGCAACAAGGTTTGCTACAGGGATTGGTTTCTGGGTTGGTGTTTCTGTGGTGTGGTGTGTAGTTGCTGGTGAGTATTTGCTTCAGGTTGGGGGGTTGTCTGTAAACGAGGACTGGCCTGCCTCCCAAGGTCTGTGAGATAATGCGCTGGAGAGGTTTTAGCTGGGGGCTGTATGTGATGGCCAGTGGTGTTCTGTTATTGTCCTTGTTGGGCCTGTCCCTAAGTAGGTGATTTCTGGGTACCCGTCTTGCTCTGTCAATCTGTTTCCTCACTTCCCCAGGTGGGTATTGTAGTTTTAAGAATGCTTGATAAAGATCTTGTAGGTGTTTGTCTCTGTCTGAGGGGTTGGAGCAAATTCGGTTGTATCTTAGGGCTTGGCTGTAGACAATGGATCGTGTGATGTGTCCTGGATGGAAGCTGGAGGCATGTAGGTACGTATAGTGGTCAGTAGGTTTTTGGTATAGGGTGGTGTTTATGTGCAGTGCAAGTCATATTTTTAAAGGTCCATTGTCTATACTTTACTCAGGATTATTAGAGCTAAGATTTTGTTACATCTCTACTGCTGATCAAACATTAAACATTTTTGGAAAATGAAACATAGTCTTGTATTAATAAAGGGATTTTAAAGGTCAGATGCTGGTGATATAAATGCATTCCCTGTGGCTGCTTGAAAAGTTCTGTAATCATGCAACTACAATTTAATTGGGTTAGTCCAAGGCGAGCAAGAACATATCACAGAAAATGAGGGAATGTGGAGAATAAAGTTTCTGTGTGGTACTCCAAGCACAAGATATAGAAAAGTACATTGAAAATTAAAGGCTTTGGAGCTATGTAGTTTAAAGAATCGCCACCTTAAATAAGGCCTTAAATACATGTCATCATGTTGTTGTGCTCTCCTTTACTTGTCAATGCACGGATTCCCCTTTTACATCATGCATGGACAGAGTACTTTATTGTTAATTTTTTGACAGCTCTAATTATCAATTTGGTGTACAAGAAGAAATGAATTTTCGAAGTATTCTTGCAGTTATGATAGTAGTAAACCATTAACAGCCATATAATTTTGTGTGGTAAGTTAGTGTAATACCGTACCATGACATTTGGCTTGAAATACCAAAGGTTGACAGATTGATTTGACCTTTGCAGATTGCGGACAGCCACACCGTGAAATGAGAATGAATCCCAAAGCTATCACAGCACCTCAGATGTTTGGTCGCCTTGATGTAGCAACCAATGACTGGACAGATGGGATTTTCTCCACTCTGTGGAGGAAAACTTTGAGAGCCAAGAAAGGTAAATCACACAACCAAAGCATTAATCAAAAAGCTGTTTTCAAGCAAATAACTAATATGGTTTCAAAAGTAAGACTTCCTTGCATGGACAGATAATAATCACTACTCAGAATGTCAAGTATCAGAGGGGTAGCCATGTTAGTCTGGATCTGTAAAAAGCAACAAAGAGTCCCTTGGCACCTTATAGACTAACAGACGTATTGGAGCATAAGCTTTCACTTACAGACAGCACTGCGTCTGACGAAGTGGGTATTCACCCACGAAAGCTTATGCTCCAATACGTCTGTTAGTCTATAAGGTACCACAGGACTCTTTGTTGCTTTACTCAGAATGTGTCATCTTCAGGTTGCAAAATGGCAAATTCTATTCCACTAATTTTCCCAATCCTTTTTTTGAAGGATTGGTCATAGGATTAAAGAGGAGGTATCTTTTTGTGTAATTTTACACCTGCTGCTGGACGTTAATGGAATGGCTTTGAAAAACTTATAGGGAAGAACCCATTCTGCTCCTTTCTGTGTTTGTGTACCCATGTTAACAGGCACTTGGGATTTCAGTGTGTAAAGGAAACAAAGGAAAAAACTTTCCTGGTCACACCATCCATTTTTAGGCAGAAACATTCATTTATTTCAAAGGAGACTTGTATTTAGCCCCGTATTATGTATAAACTTGTTGTATACTACTTTACTTGACTACTCAATGTTCTAGCTCAAAAACTGGGTCACTGGTGACTACAGTCAGGAAGTATTTGGCTATTGTGTAGTCATTTCTCTATTGATAAAAATTGTAAGCAGTGATCAGACATTATTTAAGGTAAATTACTGTAGTTGAAATTTGGTAATATTGTCTATAGATTAACTGGCCTAAAAAGACTTCACAATATTGCAAATAGCTCCTATCTAAGACTGATTATTGTGCTTCTGCAGGACAAAACCCAGTTGAAATAAAGACCGATCCAACTCCCAATAAAGTAGATGGAAAAATGGCCATAAACTCCAATGGGAGCTGGATCAGAACGGTAAAAGTTAGTGTAAAACTACATGAAATTATTCCTAACGATTTTCTGACAACTTGTATTAACTATATTTCCTACTTGGTTTAGGAATTCTCGTTTGAGCTTTATCAAAACCTTTGGAACCAGAAGATTTGTAGGTTTTTTTTTAAAGTACAGAATTTCTACCCTGAGTTTTGATGATTTAATTAAATGGAGGTTTATATGAAGAGCTAAAATTCTTAAGATGGGAGATAGTAAAAATCCATGAAGCTGTTGACCAGAATGTTACAAGCATTACCAGGTGTTGGGCAGATAATGCTACCTTTATGTGTTGTGTGACAGATAAGCATTTGGATATGGATAGCAACAGATCAAATGCTTTATTTCAAACTGGTAGAAACAAACTGAATTGATACAGTTACTTTTGTATTTCTTGTTGTTACAACAATTAGATTTAGTGTGCAATATTCTGTACAATAAAGTGTAATTAGATAATGCTTGTGAGACCATATGATTTGCTTCATAGACATGTTCTTTGGATCGCAGGTGAGCACATCTGGATAGTTCTTGATGGTCCTGTTGATGCTATTTGGATTGAGAACCTGAACTCTGTACTGGATGATAATAGAACCCTAACACTAGCTAATGGAGACCGTATTCCGATGGCACCAAACTGTAAAATAGTGTTTGAGCCTCATAATATTGACAATGCTTCCCCTGCTACTGTATCAAGGAATGGCATGGTTTTCATGAGTTCATCAGTTCTCAACTGGAGCCCCGTTCTTGAGGTATGGTCCACAATAATTAGATGATTCGATATATTGATAGAAGTTTATCAGTTAGGTATATTTAATGAGTGTTGAATACCAATGATTTTCAAGTAGCTCATTGTGCTTAGGTTATAACTTGGGGATACTCATTTTATCCAGTATATTTATTCAGTTGAAACACTATGTAAATGCATTAATTGTAGTCTGTCTTAGACATACTGCCAGATGATCATTTAACATAACTATGCCCCAGGTGGTGGTACTGAATACTGAAAGATTTAAGTCTTTAGAAGCTTGGGTGGTCTATTACACTTTCCACTTTTTCATTCTGGAATTTCAGTCTGTGTTTAAGAATATGAAACCTAAAGCCAAATTCCTAAAGCTGTATTTAGGCTCTTAAACAAAGGGCCTGATTTTCAAAAATACCAACCACCCAATAGCTCCTAGTGCAGTGAATCTACTTCAGATAAGGTAAGGGTTGGGGAAAGGGCATCATGGATATACTCTGTGGTGCCATGTTCCTCCATGTCTTCCTGTTCCCTCTTCAACTTCAAGACAAGTATCGCATCAGCCCACCTAAAGGACCTTTCCCCCTTCTTAGAGCTAAGGGTAATGGAACCAGTACATTGGGCTCTAACATTTCCTCTGATTTATCCACAGAATCTCTAGTACCAGTATTAGCTAATTGACAAAACAGGTATTGTTTGTCTTAGGTGTTCCTGAAGGTTTTGATATTGACCATAATTACATTGAAGACCAGGAACTTATTTGTATTTAGTCATCAATGGTTTACTTAGAGCCTTATGTGCAGGAAAAGGTTCACAGCACCCTCTTAATGCTTCCGACACACAGTTTGGAAATAAGGTTGAAGAGCTCGTTGATTCCCTTTGGAGGTTTGTCAACTCAAATCAAAAGAGGGAGAGTCAATCTTCCCAACAGGGAAAATTTGACAAGATCCAAACTCTGATTTGTATGGTGTCACAGAACTGTTAGCCATTCAGCTAAATAGCAATTCCTGGATGTGTGAGTCTCCATGTGGAGAGTTAACTCATTGGGCAAGATTGCACAGGAGAGCTTCAGGGGTTACTTTTAACATGCTGGAATCGTTCCCAACAAGAAATGTGGAGGGAAGTGCAGATAACATAGTGATCATTTCATTGTCCTGATGGAAGCAAGAAGCCTGTGTGATTTCTGGATCCTCCTTTCACAGTCTGGACCTCAAACTCCTGACCATGGATGATGGCCTCTTAGGGAAGGTGAGGTCAGAGGGCTCAGAGCATTAATTTATTACATATAAGGACAGTCCAGTCAGGCCTTCTGGACTGAGGATCACCTAATGAAGTAGCATATCCTGATCCAGTCCAACAGTGATATATGTAAACTGGCAAAGTGGCGAGGTCTAAACATAAAACCAATGCACTTCATTTCCTGTGCACTTAATGTACATATGTTAAATGCAACAGAGAGTCCTGTGGCACCTTTAAGACTAACAGATGTATTGGAGCATAAGTTTTCGTGGGTGGATGCCCACTTCGTCAGAAGCATCCCGCGAAGTGGGGAATTCCCCAC